TTGATATAGGGTCTCACTACATAGCTTAAGCTTATAGTGATCCTCCTATTTCAGCCTCCCCAGCCCTGGGATTACAGGCATATGCCACCACGTCCCATCTCAGTGGCCGGCTAGGTAGGTCCCAGGCCGGATTGGCACAGCATATGATACCAGGGATTGAACCAGGGTCCTTGTGCTTGCCAGGCAGGCGCTTAGACTGCTGAGCTATCTCCCCAGCCCCTGGACTTCTCTCTTACTCAAGGCCATTCTCTGGAGGGCATGGGCATTTGACCCCCGGATGTTGGATCTCACTTTATAGCCAAGAATTGATGATACACAGTCCTGGCATCTCCTATGCCTATTGCATACTTCGCACCCAGAAGCCACTGAGTTAGTATAGCTAACAGCATGACAGGGCAACCATTCTGAGGTACAGATGAAGCATCTTTCAGAGGTGATAGGTCCAGGCTACAGGATGAAGTATGCACCATAATCAATAACTACATAAGTGCCCAGGCCCAACATGTGGAATATGGAGGTTTAGGAAGCCAGAGGTAGAAGTAGAATGACCCCACTTACTATAGCTTTCTGGTTCCTATAGTTCCAGGCTCTCCAAGTTCAGGGAATTTGGTTCCCAGAGGGGGAACACTTCCACCAAGGAACAAAACAACAGTCATAAACTTTAGGTGTGGCTGCTTGCTGTCCTTCAGACTCCTTGTGCTAAGAAAACTGCAGGCAAGAAAAGGAACCACTTTCAGATGGGGGTAGTTGACCCTAATCCTTGGGAAGAGACAGGACTGCGGTTATATAACAGGCCCAGGAAAAAATAAGTCTGGCACCCAGGATATCTCCTGGGGTGTCTCTCAGTACCCCTGCCTAATTTTTGATGGAAAGTAGACTCATTTAGCACCAAAGTCTGAGAGGGTGTGCGGTGGGTGATTGGTCACCCCAATAGGTAGGCCACCTGGGGCCCCAGAACTGTAAGATGAAAGAAGAGAGGATCTTCGGCAGCCTAGGAGTGTGGCTTTATTGGCAGCTCTGCCTTTTGAGTCAGATGGAGCTGGCTGTTAGCAAAACCCTCAGCTTTATTCACAAATGTCTCTGCTAAGCCGCCACTTCCTCACCCTGACCTGGACAGTCCATGCTTGGAGCCAAGCCCAGATCTCTCTTGAGCCCTTTCATTTTACCTTGGGTGGTTTGGGCTAGTGCTCCAACAGGTCAGGATGCGTTTGGTCCTGCATCTGTCTCCCAACATCTTCCTGTTCTCACTGCCTTCTTCCCTGGCCTACAGATTTTATATCCCTTACATGAGAGGGTATGGCATTTGCATATAACCTACCACATCCTCCCATATACTTAAATCATCCCAGATTTACTTATAATACCTAGCACAATGTAAATGGCATGTAAATCACTGCTATCCTGTGTTGTATATGGAATAATGACAAGGAACATAAGCCTGTACATTTTCGGTACAGGTGCAACCCTGCCCTCCAATATTTTGTTTAATCTATAATTAGTTGGATCTGCAGTTACAGAATCCACAGACCAGGAAAACTGACTGCATGGAGGAAGAAATAGTAAGAAACTGCATTATTTTCTGCCAGTATTTGTGAATAAGCATATAAATAAGTCAGCATACTGATGTACACTTGTAATCCTGGCACAGCAGGAAGCTGAGATAGGAGGATCACAAGTTCAAGTCCAGTCTTGGCAACTTAGCAACTTAGTGAGAACTTGTCTCAAAGTAAATAAACTTGAAAAGGGGCTGAGATATGGCTCACTGGAAAGATTGCATTCATTGTTCACTGCTCAAAATATACTAGCAATGTACAGGTACTACATTAAGTGCTTTATAGTTTTTGTTTTTGTTTGGTTTTGGTACCTGGGATTGAACTCAGGACCTTGCGCTTGGCTGCAGGTGCTTAATCTGCTGAGCTATCTCCCCCCACTAAGTGCTTTATAGTTATTATATTATTTAATCTTTACAACAGACATGTGACACCTTATCCCCATTTTAAAGATAAGAAAGACAAGCCACAGAAAGGGTATCACATGACAAATCAGTAGCTGGGTTTATAAAGTAGTGTGGGTGGCTCCCTGCACCAGTCTGGGAACATGCAACAACTGAGCTTTCTCTATTCCTGGAATCAAGAGCCTGTGAGATACCTCAGCAGACTATGCCTGCTTAGGCAAGCGCAGGGACCGGGCTTCGATCCCTGGGAACCACATGCTGCACCAGCCCTGCCCTTGGGCATGCTGAGCTGGCCACTGAGTTTGCGCATGGTGACATATGTCTGTAATCTCAGAGCTGGGTACGTTGAAAACAGGAGCATCACTACGAGTCAGATGTTTGTTGTGAGACAAATATATATATATATATATCTCCCTGGAATCTTCTGGCCCAAGGAGTGCAGCAAGCCTGGGTACTCCTCAACCACTGCTTGGGCAGGGCAGTCATGGCATCTAACCTGACATGACTCCTTCACTTGGCAAATAATTGTGGGGGACTGGAGTTCAACTCTCACCACTAAACACTGATGAACAGTTTGGGAAGTGAAAGCATGGGCCTCCTGAGACCTGTTCCTGGGAGGCAGCAGTTGAATACAAGCTCCTAACACCTTCTGTGGCCCAAGGGTTCACATGCCAAACTCTACAGCATGCAGTCCCCACAGATCTCAAATGACACAAGTCAACCACCAGTCTCCCTGAAAATCAGCCTTCCCTGGCTCTGTCCCCTCTCCCCAGGAGGCTTCACTTTCCAGTGCACCAGCAGGGGGCATCCTTGCCCTACCACTTCACACTCTGGGGGGCCAAGCGCCTGTTGATTGCTCTGCCTTCTGTCCAGCCCAGCCCAGGAGCCCAAGGCCAGTTTCCCAAATTAGACATCCATGTGACTTCCCTGATTTTCTCCATACCTGCTGTAGTGTTATTTACAAGACATTTTTCTTTGTCACATTTTTTGAAAATCCAATCGCCCCTCATGTTTTGTGCTTTGTGTTGGAAGGAGAATCGTGCTCTCCTGCCAGGCTGGTCTTGAACTCTTAGGCTCAAATGTCCCTTCCACCTTGGCCTCCAGGTAGCCAGGACTGCAGGTGTGCGCCACCACACCAGCCACCTAAATGTATACTGGAAAGAAGAAAGCCCTTTGGGATAAAGATCTTCTCAGCTTGCTCTGCTTGCTGCCAGGGTTCCCACATTCGCAAGGCTGGCTTTCCAGGAGGTCAGGATGTGAGCAAGAGTACAGATTCTCCCCTCTCAGGTTGCAGTTGGGATCTTGGGTGGTGTCACTGGTGCCTTTTAGTCACTGGGTAAACATGTGTGAGGTTTTGTTTTGTGAGTGAGGGCCTGAGATGGAAAGGACAGTCAGGAGTGTGGAAATCCTTGAAATGAGTGGAGGAGCCATCCCTCCTCCCCAAGGGACAGAGGAAGGGGCTGTCTTTTCAGGTTCCCAAGAGGAGAGGCAGCTGGGGCCTCAGGGCAGAGGAGATGGGTGGGGTGGGGGTGACACAAAATCATTGCAGGTGACAGGTGCAGGGGTTTGGGGAAGGTACTGGGATTTCCCTTGCAAAACTCATTCAAACAGAGAGGGAATCTGATCCTAAGGAGTCCCTGAATATCTATCGGGAGGCCCAAAGTTGGAGAGCAGGAGAGAAAAGAGACCTGGAGGGATCAGCTAGAGCCACTTCAGGAGTCTAAGTGGTTTTCTGAAGGCTCAGTTATTCATGGTTTCAAGCTCCATCCTCTGGTCTTCGAATTGCTTTTCTGGGGATTATTTTTGGGTTGGGAATCTCCTCAGTGTTTTGGAGGTTGTTTGTTACTTGTTTGTTTGAGACGGGGTCTTGCTATATAGTTCAGGCTGGCTTTGAATTCACTATGTAACCCAGGCTGGCCTTGAACTTGCAGCCATCCTGCCTCAGCCTCTGGAGTGGTGGGATTAGAGGCGTGTGCTATCACACCCAGCCCCTTAGTGGTTTTTGGTATTTTGGTACTGGAGATTGAGTTCATAAGAACTACCTCCCTAACCCTTTTCATTTTTGAGACAATGTCTCACTAAATTGCCCAAGCAGGATTTGAATTTGCGCTCCTCTTGCCTCAACCTCCCAGGAGCATGTGCCATCCCACTCACAGCTTGCCAGCGACTATTTACTGCTTCATTCTCACTAAAGAGGCTTCTGTCCACCATAACCCTGCAGCTCCCTGACTTTCGAGGGCACTTCCAGGGCACAGTGAGGGTCTTACAGTTGTCTGGGGGTAGCAGAGAAGTCTCCGTTGGGACCTGAGAGGGGAAGGAAGTCTTGGGTAGAGCTCCCTGCCTCCCCTGCTGGGATACGCAGGGTGATAAGCAGAGTAGGTTAGGTAAGAGGAAGTGAGTGGGGCTGAGTGGGTCTGGGACTGAACCCCTGGGGACAGAGGCAGCGTGAGGGTTGTGTACTCCAGAGGGGCTCCAAGCATCTGGAGCAGCTGTCCTGCCCAGGTCCTGGGGTGTGGAGGCACCTGGGAGAAGCGCTCAGTGGAGATAGGCAGCCTAGGGAACTGGGTGGGTGCCAGCTGGACAGTGGAGGCCCAGGCCTCAGCGAGGCTGGGAGGTATGGATGCCTCCCCTGACGCTCATTTTCATGGGAAGGAAGCACGGAGAAAGAACTAGGTGTTCTGTTAACTTTGATTATTCAAAACAATCCCAGCCAGGCCCTGTCCCCATTCTCTACTCCTACCTCTGGGGTGGTCTCATTTTCTGCGGATAGAGCCCCACCCTCAAGGACTCCCTTCCCCTGTGAGCTCCTTTTACCTGTTCTCCATCTGTGAGCCCAAGCAACAGTATCCCCCACCACCCCCTAATTGCTCTTCTTGGGCTCCCTGGGACCCAGAGGACCTAACTCCAAGGTACCCAGCCAGCATGACCTGCCTCTCAGTTCTGGGTTGCACAGAAAGGAAGCCTGAGCCGGAAGTGCTGAGGCATAGGAGGAAGGCGGGGGCTCCAGGAGGGGAGCTGGGCGCCCTGGGCAGGAGTGGGGCTGCAAGCAGGGCAGGAGGAACTTATTTACAAGGCAGATGGGTCTTGGGCCAGAGCTTTGAGCTCTGTGCCCAACGACTGCTACCCCGTAAGCTGTAAGAGTAGACTTCCGGGCCAGCTTGGGGAGTGCCCTGGGAGGCCAGCCGGGCTGCCCCTCCTGTCAGCCTCCTTCCTTCCGTCCTCCTGCCACCCTGTGACTGCCCAGCTTCTCTAAAGAGGCACCGTTGGCATCATGTCTCTGCTCAACCCTGTCCTGAAGCCCCCTGAGGTGAAGGCCTATCTGACGCAAGGGGAGCGCTTCATCAAATGGGACGATGTGAGTAGGGCGGGCCCCTCTGGCTGCTGGGAGCTGGGTAGTGGGGACGGAGGCTTGGTTTATGTTTCCCGGGGTCCAGGCGCCTGTGCGGCTTGGCCAGGCAGCTGGCACTTGTCTGGATAAACAAGCCTGGGGACGAGGTGTTGTGTCCCTGGCTGTGGTGGCCAAGCTCTGTGTCTAGGAGTGAGGAGGAGGTAGGCTGCTTGGAGGATTCCAGGGAATAGATTTTTTGGATCTACATCTGTCCTGCCTGCCCACTTCTTGGCTGCAGAAGAGTAAGGATTTTGCTCCTGAGGCAGCCTTGCTGGGAGAAGAGCACACCCAGAGCTGAGACAGGGTCCCTTCCCAGTACTGATACCCTACTTTTGCTCCAGCAGAAGCCTGGATCCCCTGACCCCACTTTTTTCCCCTCCCCACAAATAACATTAGGCCTGTCCCAGGAAAACCTTACTCTTTTCTCAGTGGCTGTCTGGGCAGCCCCCAAAGGCTGAGGAGCTGATTGAGAGCTGGAGTTGTTGCTCCAGGGGCATACAAAGAGCCAGAGGGACTTGTGCTTCCCCTTGTTGTGAGGCCTGGTCCCGACTCCCACCAGCCTGTCCACAGGGGAGGGGAAGGCATTGCTTCACCTTGTACCCTGTCTCACCAGTCTGCTCCTGCCTCAGCCAGAGCCTGCTTCCCAGCCTCTGGTTTACTTGGACCTTGAAAATACCACCAAGGGTCAGGGATTCTTTCAGGCCAGCAGGGAGAGCCACATGGAAATTTTCCTTCAGAGCAAAGGTGCTGCTGGAGTGGCCTATGCTGAGAGAGGGCCAGCGTGGCCCCAGGAAGACAGAGAAGCTCTACCAGGGAAGACAGGGCCTTAAGGTGCTTGTCTGGCTTAAGGTGGTACTTGGGGGTCAAGGTCTAGGTTCTCTAGGGTGGGACTAGACAGGGAGGTCTCGGCCATGACTGTGGGGAAGGGCCTGTGGTTAGCTGCTTTCTGTTTCCCTAGCATGGAGGTGGTGTGTCCCAGGAACCCAAGGGATGAGGGAAGTGGCTTAGACTGAGAAGTACAGCAGTTTCTCTCAGTTCCTCTGGGCAGTATGCATGACCTGAGTGGACAGGGACATGCTATGCGGCCTTCTCCCCAGCCTTTGTACCCGGCTGGCCCTTTTCCAACTCTAAAGTGGGATCCTTCTTATTCCCTGGACCCTGAGTTTTTTTGTCTTTTTGAGACAGGGTCTCACTATGCAGTGCAGGCAGGCCTTGAGCTCACTTTGTAGCCCAGGCTGGTCTCAAACTCACAATGATCCTCCTGCCTCAGGCTCCCAAGCACTGGGATTACAGGTGTGCACCACCATGCCCAGTCTTTGGATCCTGATTTATAAGGGCAGGAATGTCGCAAGCCTCGTCACAGGGCTAAGGCACATCTGAGACTGGCCGAACTCTCAGACTTTTAGCCTGGGTAGCAGACCACAGGGCTGTGTCACGGCATGTCAGGCAAGCACATTGCATAGGATGTAACCAGACCAGGACTCCACGTCACCTCCCATAGCCCTTCATATGTGTAGAGGGAGAAGCTCTTCTAGGGTGGAAAGAAACACAACAAACCACCATTCATCTCCTTTACCCTTTGGTAATTGTCTGTGGTCATCACACAACCTGCTCCTATTTCAGAAGCAGTGACTTAGAACCAAAAACCTAACCTTACTTTAGTCTCCAGGCATCTTGCTTTCACGCCCTTGGGGTTGGCTTCAGGGGGTGCAGGCCCTCTAGAATGGGGTATCCTCCTCCTCTGGACCCCTCAAGATGGGGTGCAGGTGGGGAAGAGATTAGTAACATTCATTCTTGAATAGCTGCTGTCATAAATGGGCAGAAACTAAAGTTTATTTATTTATTTATTTATTTATTTATTTTTTTAATTTCTATTTTTTCAGTGGAACCAGGGATTGAACTCAGGCCCTTGCGCTTGCCAGGGAAGCCCTTATTCTACTGAGCCATCTCCCTAGACCTCTAAAGTTTGTTTTATCCCCGGTGGGCATTTGGTGATTCTTGGGAGACCTTCCCCCCAAACTTGAGACACCCTGGCATCTCTATTCAGGGCATTACTTGCTGTTGTAGTACTTCTTCAGCCCTTTACAACACTTGTATCTTTCTAGGTTTTGGGCCCTGTGCTTCTGTCTCCCCTGTGGGCCCACCCCAGGTCCTAGAAATGCCCCAACAATGCTCCTGCAGTGCAGACATCCTTAGTGTATCTCTGCTCTCCAGGCTCCATCCTACATGCCTCAGGCCTTCAGGGATCACACCAGCTCCCCCAAGTAGGGCTGAAAGTGCTCTCTGGGCCTCAGGTCAGGGATCAGGCATCCTGGGGCTTCCTTAGGAGGGGAGGGATGGAGCACATCACTTTCACCAAAATTGGATTCTGCATAAAATCTTTCTCCCGTACCCTAGTAGGCTCTGATTATCTTTCTTCAATCATTTCCTTTGTAAATTTTATGTTTGGTTTGGTGTGTAGCAACTATCATGTCTTTTTTTTCTTAAACTATCATGTCTTGTTGGAAAATTCAGTTGTTGTTGCTGGTGTGTGTGTGTGTGTGTGTGTGTGTGTGTGTGTGTGTGTATTACTGGGGATTGAGTCCAGGGTCTTTGCCTGGAGCTATATCTCCATCCCTTTTTTAAAGAACATTTTAGATGATGTCTTGCTAAGCCACTAAGTTGCCTAGGCTAGACTCAAACTTCCAGTCCTCCTACCTCAGCCCCTGGAATGCTGAGATTAAGTGTGTGCACCACTATATCCAGAATAATTATTATTAAAATAAAAGGGAGCCTATATGCTGTGTGAGGGGAACAAGAATTTAGAAGGTGAGATCATTGATTCATTCATTTGCTTTTTCAATAAACTTTGGGCTCAAGCACCAAGCACCGAGCTCATGGCCTAGCTTATTGTCCTTGGTCCATCAGCTCCTGGAGATTTCCTGGACCTGCTGCTAGTCTATGACCCTCCCAGCCGTCACTCTGGCCACACACCCAGATTGTTACAGCATATTTCCAGGAAGGCTTTCCCAAAGGAGTGAGGCAAGAGCTGGTCCATGTTTCAGGTCAAAAAAGTTTGAAGGTGGGAAGGCAAGTGGTGACTCCATGAAATAGTTGGGAAGGGTTTTGTTTGTTTGTTTGTTTGTTTGTTTGTTTTTGTACTGGAAGAGATTGAACTCAGGACTTTGTACTTGCCAGGCAGCTGTATGTGCCGCAGAGTTACATCCCATTCCCATAGTTGGGCAGAAGGCCTGGGGACAGTCATGGAGGGAGTACAGTTCATAGCTAGATTGGGTAGGCATTTGGCTGTGGGTACAGGAGTCTGGGCTTTTGGTTCTGCCTGTATAAAGCTCTTTTACATGGTAGCAGCAGTCTTCAGAGAGAGAAACTCCATCCCTGTGATAGAGCCATGACCTTTGGGAACTTCTATTTGGGATTAGAGGGAAATCTTCTCTTTCAGAGATGCCATCTCTAATCCTCAGTCTGTTCTAGTTCTTATCTCTAGAGAACACAGAGAAATGGCCTCAGATTCCTGGGACAGGTGCCTCCTAGGTGAGGTGATGAGCTCTGGACTCGCTGGTGTGGGCCAGGGAAGTCTGGCCAGAGGGCCCAGAGCAGATGGCTGACCTCTTTTCTCTTCAGGAAACGTCAATAGCCTCCCCAGTTATCCTCCGAGTAGATCCCAAGGGCTACTACTTATACTGGACGTATCAGAGCAAGGTGAGGAGGGTAGCCTCTATCTCCTGTGGCTCTGAGCTCTCACTCACCCAGTTAGCCCAGCCAGAGTTCTAATAGTCTTGGGGTGGAGGTGTGGATGCTAGGGAGTGGAGAGTGGCCTGGGAGGGTGGCACTGGAGCTCCCTGGTGAACGAAACTGTTTGCTCCAATAGGTTGGGGTCCAGATGCTCCAGCTGTGGCATCCTTGGAAGGGGGAGAGAGACAGAGAGAAACAGAGAGAGACAGAGAGACAGAGAGACAGAGACAAAGAGAGAGAGAGACAGAGACTGAGGGACAGAGAGACAGAGACAGAGACAGAGAGACAGAAAGAGAAAGAAACAGACAGAAAGAGACAGAGACAGAGAGACAGAAAGAGACAGAGACAGAGACAGACAGAAAGAGACAGAATCAGAGAGACAGAAAGAGACAGAGACAGACAGAAAAAGACAGAGTC